AGAAAATAAAATTTTATTCTTATTTAATGTTAGCGAGAAGATTTGTTTTCTCAAATATATGCATTTGATATATATATATTTATTTATAAAATAATCAATAAAATTAGCATAAAAAATTATATTTGAATAATTAGTTGGTTCATTTAAAAAATTATTTTAATTATTTTATTTCAAATAAATTGATTCTATAATGTTAAAAAAATATTCATAATAAATAATTTGTATTATGTTGGAAGATGTATAGTTAATTTTTAATATAAAAATTAGAATAAAAATTAATTTGATGTGAATTTTTATAATAAATTGAAAAGATCAATTTTAAACAATAAGAATAGTATATATTTATCCGAAAACCTAAAAATATATAGTATATATTATATGATCATTAGTTTATATGGAAAAAAATAATTATGTAAAAATATGTATGGTTAATTTTTAATATAAAAATAAGAATAAAAGTTAACTTGATATGAATTTTTATAATAAATTAATAAAATTAATTTTAAATAATAAGAATAGTATATATTTATTCAAAAATCTAAAAACATATTGTATATATTATATAATCGTCAGTTTTTGTGAAAAAAATAATGATTGATTTTTAAAATTTTAACACCTAGTTAAATAAAAAAACATAAATTGATGGAAAAAATCAAAAGAAAAAAAAAAGTGTGTAATACATCAGCTAAGGGGTAAAAATTTTATTTTAAAATTTTAAGGACCGAAATGAAACAATTTAAAAATTAAAAAAAAAGTGAATAGTGATTTGTGAGGGGTGAACAATGAAAGTCACTGTTCAACCCCCTCACTTCTAGATATACAGTAATAACCTATTGGAAAAGTTGATTCCTTCGTAGGAACTTCAACCTTTTGAATTATATCAAACAAACAATACATTAATTATTATGGTGGCTGCCTACTGCATCTAACATTCTCTTCCATTTCTCTCATTATACGGTTTTCTTTTCCTTTCCCTCACCACATTCTCATCTCTTGTCTCAACGTGAACAATCTTGCTTATAAGCAAACCAGTAGGGGAAACAACATCTTGTGAACTACAACTTCAATCCAGGTAGATCATTTATATATGTACTCCATCTTATATATATATATATATATATATATATATATATATATATATAAAGTTGTAGAAATTTTGGTGAAGAAAGTGTTTTCAAATGGGATGCTAATCCCACATTGAAAAGCATCCCATTTGAAACGAAAAGAAGAGAATAGACACTTTATAGGTAGACCTCTTGTAAAGGTTTTCAATTGGAGGATTTGGAGGGAACCCAAATTGGAGGAGGGGAGCTAGTTGGGTGAAATTAAATATATTTATAGTTGACAATCAAAATACTAGCACTTAGTACTTTGCACGAATGCGGCGCGCGATTAATTAATTTCAAATTTATTACTTTTTATTAAATTAAATTTGTAATTAATTAAGCTTTCTTGCAACAGATTAGTCATTAAATCAAATTAGTTTTTTTAAGAGGCGGTCATATTGGTTATGAAAGGTTTTCGGTAATCTATAAATAAAGGACTCGCTGCTCGGAAAGCAATTACTTCCTTCTTCCGCGGTCCTTATCCTCTCAAAACTCTTCTCTTCATATATTCTACGACTTCCCACAAAAGAAGTTGTCACTGGGGCTAGCGGGAGTGGTGCGACCTTCCTAAGGGAGTCTCTCGATGGGGCCATTGCAAGAGAATCAGCCCCAACCACGGGAAGGAGCTTCTATGCTTGGATTGGGGGTTCCACATCATCCAAGAGAGCCGTGCTTGAACAAGAAATGCCAAAAAGAGAAGAGATAAGGACGGGGACGTTGAGGGAAAAAAAACGGAGTAAAAAGAGGGATGCAACACGATGACTTCCCAATAGATCACCCATCCTAGTACTACTCTCGCCCAAGCACGTCTAACTTCGGAGTCCCGATTGGGTTCCGGTGTATTAATGCCGATATGATTGCACCCAATACAAGACGCATGCGAAACGGATATAACCGCTCCTATAGGAAGCGCATGAGCATCGTGGTGTCGGAGAGCTATCGAAAGAAAAGAAGAGAAGATGCACTTTATAGGTAGACCTCTTGTAAAGGTTTTCAATTGGAGGGAACCCAAATTAGAGAAGGGCGACTAGGCTGGGTGAAATTAAATATATTTATATTCGACAATCAAAAGACTAGCACAAATGTGACGCTTGATTAATTAATTTTAGATTTATTTTTGTCTTTTTTATTAAATTAAATTCATAATTCATTAAGCTTCCCGCAATGATTAGTCATTAAATCAAACTAGTTTTTTTAAGAAGCGATCATGTTAGTTATGAAAGGTTTTCGGTAATCTATAAATAAAAGACTACCGCTCGAAAGCAGCTTACTTCCTTCTTCCGTGATCCACATCCTCTCAAAACTCTTTTCTTCATAAATTCTATAGCTTTCCACGATTGAAGTCGTCCCGAGGGTTGGCGAAAATGGTGCAATCGTCCCGAGGGAGCCGCTTGGTGGGGTCGCCACGGGAGAATCGACCCCGGCCACGAAAAGGAGCTCGGGCTTTGAACCGGCGGTTCCACCGTAACGCCCCGCCCCAATCATATTTTTTTACTACCTAAGTAGAGTACTGGACGAAGCACGTTACGCCGACATACCCAAAACTCTAAGTAGTTCTCTTATGATATTTTTAAAATTTTAACGAGCACATTACGTATATAACTTCTTAAGAAAAAATTTACATTACATAATTAAATATATTAATAAAACCTTACGAGCAATATTCAATTTCTTACGAACTCCATATCCCAAATTTACGTACAAAATAAAAACTACTATATGGTGCCTCATATGAGCCAATTAGGAGGAGCCACCGCTTCCGTACCAACTTGTCCTTTTTCCGTCACAACATAAAAATAACAATAGGGTGAGTCGAAGCTCGGTAAGTAGGATGATGCACGTGATATGCAATGAAGTTTTGACTTCCCACCATACTCATGAATTTTAATCTCGGGTACCACGGGTATTAGCCGATCTACTCTATTTATCATTCGGGCGGTCCGCGAATCACCTTCTGCTACAACGGAATTATCCCTCGTTGTAACTATCGGTAGCGGGAATCCATCGTCTAACAAGGTGCAAGCACACAACTTGATTTCATCCAGATGATCCTCGGATCATCTTCTCGCTACAACGAAATTATCCCTCGTTATAACTACTATTAGCGGGAATCCATCATCTAATAGTGCGAGCACACGACCTAGAGTATTGGACTACTAATACTCATTTATTTTTAATTTGGTTACCAAACCGTTTCATTTTATGACTCAATGATTTTTCTTAACTTATTCCACCCCCAATGCACGTGATGCACATGATGATATGTTTAATCACATTCAACCAAACTCGGGTACCAACCCTTCTTTCTTAAGCCATACTCACGAGTTCAACCAACACTCGGGATTCACCCGTCCCTCACATACCAATCATGGTACTCATAGCGGGAACACAACCTCTCGCTCATTAATATTGTCATTAGTTTCATTAATATTTAAAAGAAGGTCCAAATCTTTTTCTTATTTCCTCTCTAAAATAATAAATTTTCTTTAGAATTTTCAAATCCCTTTTATTTCTATCGAAGTCCACTTATTTTAGTCCAAGCCCATTTCTTTTAGTTTAAGCCCATCTACCTTAAAACCAAGCCTTTTGATTTTAGTCTAAGTCCATTTAATTTATTCCAGGCTCATTAAATTTATCCAAGTTTATTAACTTAATGCTAAGTCCATTGACTTTATCCAATTTCATTTTATTTTATCTACACCCATAAATTTTATCCAAGTCTAATTATTGGGTTTTAGGGTTTACTATCGGGCAACCTCTAATTGAGTAAGTAATTTTCTAACTTTTGAACATAATTAAATCTTACCCATTTTATTTTAGATACTAGACATATGGATTTATAACATATCTAAAAATTAGGTTGAAATACCAAGTACATAATTTATTATAAGGTTTTGAAACTTAGGGAGCAATCTGCCCAGCAGTAGTTTGTCTAGAGCTGTTCGTACTAAATCGGGTATAACTCTTTGTAAACGAATCCAATGACCAAGGTATTTTAAGGGAAGTTATTTGAAACATAGATGAACAATCTTTATTCTTTAATTTTCACCCATAAATCGACCTAAAGTCCTTGAACATGCATCCCAAATTTCGGACAGAATTTACTCCTCATCAACACCAATTTATTAGTTCTTTCCAAATCAACTTTAAACATGTTTTAGTTCATTTATATTTAGTCCAAGTCCAATTCAACCCATCACCACATACATGGACATTTTGGAAAACATCAAAACATCATAAATTATCACAACAAGGTATCCATACATGGATTCCTCCCAAACATCAAGCATATAACCATCACAAACCAACAAAACAACATATTACATGGTTTAAACTTTAAGACATGAAAATAACTCAAATCAACTCATTATTTAAGTACATGAAATGAAACTTAAAGAATAATATGATACTTAAATGAAAACCTACTTACCATGATTTATGCTCCCTTAAAAGATTTGGTAGCTTTTCCTTCCCTTTTTCCCTTTCTTTTTCTCTTTTCTTTCTTTCTCTCTTTTTGCCGTTTTTCTCTCTTCAATTTGGCTTCTCTTTTAATTCTGGAAGAGCTACGGTTTTTGGCCTAAAAATGGCAGTCATTTAACCCTCTCTTTCCCTTATATACCCACCTTCTCTCCTCTCATTTATTTATATCACAGGTGTTAAAATTTAACTACGCCAAACGTAAAGTGGAGGAAATTTGGAAGGCAAAGCTAGCTGGTTTGAATAAAGGACAAGAGTGAGTTGGCTTTGACTCATTTAATGTAAGTCTTAGGTGTCCTAAATAAGTCATTATACTATCTAAATCCCTAATTAACTTATTTTAAGCAACCAAACATCTTCTTTTCTCCCAAAATTTCAAAATTTCTTTCAAAAAAAAAACAATTTCGGTAGTGGTGCATCCTGAACCATCTATACCAAAATAGAAATAACTTTTTATATAAAGATTTAAAATTCACAAAATTTTATAAAAGGCTAGTAAATACATATACGAACAACTTTTATGCTTTAAGTTTTTCTCAAAAATCAATCTAAAATCATCAAATAAATCTCACAAGATTCGGGCAGATTCTTCTCCCGAAATTCCAGCAGAATGCATTTTGAAATAACCCTCACCATAATGGATATAACTCTTAATTTATAGGTCCAAAAATTATAAAATTTTATACAGGTCTATTCAACACATATATGAACAACTTTCATTTTTTAAGGTTTACCCAAAAATCACCCTAAAGTCCTCAAATAATTTACACAAAACTCGGGCAGAATATAGTCCTTAAAACACTGATTTTGCATATTTGATTTCTTTCATAATTAAACCATTAATCTTAAGCACAATAACTTTAATTTAACATAAATCACATATTTCAAGCATTAATTTCTCATGATGAAATGAGAGTTATACTTACTCTTAATATACATATATATAGAATTATTCTAATACACGTCACATTACGGATAAGAGTTTTTATGGGGGTTACATCCACATCGTTCGAGAGGGCTGGGCTGAACGAGGAACATCGAAAGGAGAAGTGAGAAAGATAGGGACATTGAGGGGCAAAAAAAGGCATAAATAGAGAAGTGCAACACGAGGATTTCCCAAGTGGTCACCCAAGCATGTTTAGCTTCGCAGTTCGATGGGATTTGGTGCATTAGTACTCGGTATAAATTTTATAATTTGATTTAATAAAATGTAAGAAGTTGATCAATAGTTCAGTGTATTTTTCATCAAAAAAGGATTTTGTTCATATATGATTCATCTATTTTTCAATTGTTTTTATTAAGATTTTGTACTATTTTTTTTTATTAATTGAGTTTTTCTATTTTTTTCATTTTACCATTCTTTTATTATAATATCATTACTTTGTGAGTTGATGTAACATTCTACACTCTTGTGACATATGTTATACATGAGATCCTAATAAAAAGATTCAATAAAAACAATTTAAAGATTATAGGAACCAAATTATTATTATATTTTTTTTACTTTTTATTTTGTTATTTTTTTAAAAAAATTTTCATCTTGAATGCATAAAATTATCACATGTGATACCTCGTCCTAGTAAAATTATGAAGTTTTTTTTTCTTTTTTTTTTTAAAATTATTATAATAAGTTAAGAATAATAAATAATATGTAAAAAAAAAAACATGCAATTATTAAAATATGATGTGCAATATCAATTAGTCACAAACCTTTAGTTAATGGGTTTAATTCTTCTTTAATGGAACGCCGAGCCACGTAACCTTAGCTAATCTAAAAAAATTATTACACACACGAAAGCAAGGTACCTACTTCATTATTGTCACCGAGCCATTTTTAAAGTAATTTTTTCTTTTTTAATTGAGAAATTAATTATTTTTTAATTCGTTCTATTTAAAATTTATTTTTTTTAAGTATAGAAATTATGTATTTACAATTTTAATTTTTTAATGTTTATATTACTTTTTTATTTAATTTAATATACAAATTTTCTATAAAAAAATCATTCTAAATATTTTTATGAAATTATTTTTTCCATGCTAATTAAAAGTTATTAAATGTTTCCACTAAAAAATATTTTTTAAATCCACCATTCCCCTAGTTCATTTGGATATGATGTGACCTTACAATTAATGTGCTATACAAATTACCATTGAATTCTTAATGTTAAGAAAAAAGAATTATTATTTTGATCGTGTATGTATGGCATTGTTTTCATCCCTTATTTAGTTTATATATTTTTTAAAATGATATATACAATTCGTATGCTAACATATGGAATATATATATTTAACCTTTAACTCTAACGGAAACATTTTTTAGGGAACTCGAAAGTTCAAATTTTATTCTCTCTTCTATGCTTTATCTATACAATCGGTAAGGGAAAAAAGTTAAATTACTAATGTTTAGCTAATTCCGTTATAACAAAAATGCAAAAATAGAAAACAAGAAAGGCTATTAGTTATAACAATTTAAAGACCGATTACAAAGACCCAAAACAGAAGCGAAGAGAAGGAGATACATTTGGCATGATGGAGCTCCACGGTGAGCTTCACTAAGCAATGTGATATCCCCCTCAAGTTGGAGCATAAATATCAAGAATGCCCGACTTGGTAATGTTAGCTTTGAAAGCGAGTAGGATGAAGGGCTTTTGTAAAACAATATGCTAACTGGTTGAAAGATGAAGCTGGAATAAGATGAATCA